ACTTTTGCATTATATTTTATATTTCTTATATATTTATATTAAAATATTTAGTGTTATAGTATAGAGTTATACTTTTAGGCACAATTTCAGCATTTTATGGCGCAACATTAGGCACCATGTATTCGGAATTTTCTCAAGCTTTAAGTCGTTATACTCACAACTTACTGGCATGGAATACATTAAGCGAATCTCTACAAAATACCTTGCTTCAACATTTGGGAGTAAGTCCTTGGTCTACAGAAAGCAATAGCTCTACCACATGGCCTCTTCAAGTGTATCCACGAACTCTCAGCGTATTAGCACAGGTGCATTATAATTAATAACACTATAAAAATTGAATAGAAATTCTTTAGAATAATTAGTTTAATTTTGATAATCTACCTGTAGTGCATATTATTTAAATATTTTCATATTAGGTATTGCTGTTAAAACCTCAATTAGAAAGAGAAGCTGCGTGTATAAGCATATGGCATCGATTAGTAACAACTATGGTTGAGAATGTATGCAATCCTCAAACAACATATGAAGCTGAAAATGAAGGTACAATATAAATTTCTCATTGATTATATATATTTTTTAAAGCAATATATATTTTTTATTTGATTTTGGTACTTATTTTTATAATATAATTAAATTTGCTTCTCCTGATATATATGATTATTAATATACTCAAGTTTTGAAATATATCTAAAATCTACTGTATTTTATTATAGTTAGAATATTAATTATTATTGTACATTTGCAGATTTAAATGTTGAACATGCTCAATTGGTTCTTTTCCTATTTCATTCTCTGAACTTAATGCAAAAGAAATCTGTATTACTTGTAACTGGAAGTGGTGCAGTACGTTGCAGTGAAGCAATAAAAACACCGATGAAAGATTCTCAATTGTTACACTTATCTCGATTATTATTATTACTTGAATATATGATGAAGCATCTATATGATGCACATCCAGTATTGCTTGAACAAGTAAGATTTTACATTTCTATTTTAAAATATTTATATATATGAATTCTATAAATTGCATTTTATATATATATATATATATATATATATGTATATGTATATATATATATATATATATATATGTACATATGTAGTCATTACCATATAATAATTTATACATTGCAATATAA